TATCCTTTATTGGATCAGTCGCCTGTAACAATGCCTGGGGATCCAAAGCATCAAAAACAAATTAATTTTCGGAACATTTGTAAATTTTATACGTGGACGCAAACGGAGATTAGAACAGCTCGGCTATGCTCATTGTTATAAGCGATTAAAATTTGCATCGCACTAGAAATTTTATTTTTACAATTATTATCTAATAGTCACAGCTTTTACCGCGAAACGGCACATTAATAGAAATAATACGTAGATTAACATTATTACGATTGTATGTTCTTTATCACATTGCGATTAAAGATACACATTTTTGCGTGCGCGTCCCCTACCACCCGCTCCTTCGCGTTAGCCGCGATCTGACGTTACTTTAAACCTCGGGCAACGTGATCGATCAGCGGAGCTGGGCCTCGTGTCTCATGTGGAGTCGTGCAAAGTCAAACTCCTCGCGAGGAAGGTTGCGTCTGTAAAAAGCATCACGTACCAAAGCCAGCCGGCAATCATGACTATCGTGACTCTTTTAAGCCGCAACGTGAACTTGAATCGGCTGTCGAAGCTGCGACCGTCTATTTACGAAGTAAGATTCCTAACCTCTATTCGTAGGCCGTAAGCTTCAAGCCGCTTTTACATAAACGTACTCGTCGACGACGCGGAGATTTCCGTGTGATTTACTGTATCGCGTAATCTCCGTAGCAGAATGCGCGACTCTTCGCGTCGCACGTCAAGTTCGCCGAGCACAAGCCGTTGGAGAAGCTCAGGAACATCGGCATATCGGCCCACATCGATTCCGGTAAAACCACGTTGACCGAGCGTATCCTGTATTACACCGGCAGAATATCCGAGATGCACGAGGTAAATTTGTAACTTGATCATTGCACATCGTGTCCGCGGGTGACCTGCAACTGATAGAACGTTTCGATCAAGTGGACAAGATCATGAGATAGGATCCTAATATGAGACAGTAGAGTCTGCTAAATTAATAGGCATCGTCCAGTTGATTCCAATTTATTGCCATTGCCGCGAAATCTGGTGGAAAATTCATTGTTAAATTGTTGCGAGGAAAGATCTGCGATTGAATTTGGGTGTTGAAAACCTGCTGTCTCATAATAGAAGACTTTACAGACTTCACTTACATAAAAGTTGTTTCTTTTTTTTGCCAATATTAGGTGAGAGGAAGAGATAACGTGGGTGCAACGATGGACAGCATGGAATTGGAAAGGCAAAGAGGCATCACTATCCAGTCCGCTGCCACGTACACATTGTGGAAAGATCACAATATCAATATCATCGATACGCCGGGGCACGTGGACTTCACGGTGGAGGTCGAGAGAGCACTGCGAGTCTTGGACGGTGCTATCCTTGTCCTCTGCGCCGTGGGTGGCGTCCAGTCGCAGACTCTGACTGTGAATCGGCAGATGAAGAGATACGAGGTGCCTTGCCTAGCGTTTATCAATAAGCTGGACAGAATGGGCGCGAATCCGAAGAGGGTCCTGCAGCAGATGAGAAGCAAACTGCATCACAATGCTGCGTTCATACAGTTGCCGATTGGCCTGGAGGGTAACACGAAGGGCATAGTTGATATAATTGCGCAAAAGGCGCTTTACTTCGAAGGGAATTTTGGGGATGCCGTCAGGGAAGACGAAATTCCAAAGGACATGAACGCAGGTATTTGCATAAAATATAATGAATTCACATTTGTGTTCCCAAGTTCTTTTCATAAGGTCACTAAATTTTCGTTCTGTCGATTAGAGGTGAATGAAAAGCGGCAGGAATTAATCGAGCACTTGAGCAATGCGGACGACACATTTGGCGAATTGTACTTGAACGATGCGGAAATAACTGAGAAAGATATTATGGCTGCCGTACGTAGGAGCTGCTTGAAAAGGAAGTTCACACCCGTGCTAGTTGGCACTGCGTTAAAGAATAAGGGAGTTCAGCCATTATTAGATGCGGTAATAAACTACTTGCCAAATCCAGGAGAAGTAGAGAATTTTGCCTTTCAAGAAAAATCTGAGTAAGCTTTTTGTGTCAATGTACCGTGTTTCTAATACATGTATACCTAATATATAATTCTAAGAACGAATTTTCACTTTAGGGGTGAACATGCTAAAGTTTTACTGGATCCTAGTCGCGATGATAAAAAATCTTTTGTTGGACTGGCATTCAAGTTGGAGGCTGGTAGATACGGTCAGTTAACATATTTCCGTTGTTACCAAGGAATGTTAAAAAAGTCGGATACTTTATATAACACAAGAACACGAAAGAAGGTAATTGTTTATTACCTGCAGAAAGAAAGTCCCCTATTATGAGAGAGGATTCTAATGTGGGATAGCGGGGCTTCTGTTAAATTAACGGGCACCATCAGTTGATTCCACTGTGAATTTATTGCCCTTGGAGCGAAATCTGTTTAGCGGAAAGTTCGTTGTTAGATCGTGTAATCGTTGCGAAAATAGATTTCCGATTCAATTTGGGTGTTGAAAACCTGCTGTCTCATAAGAGAGGATTTTCCTCTATATGCACGGAGAGAATTTTCTCTTAAAATTTATCCTGAAAGTTGTATGATCGTGGAATAACATGGCATTTTGAAGAACTTTATGAGAGTTTTTCGAAATTTGATCATACATTTTACTAGTAAAATGTATAGTAAAAACCCATAAAATTCCTTGAAATGCCGTGTTGTCCCGCGATTACATAATTTTCAGGATAAATTTTAAAAGAAAATCCTCTCCGTGTGCATATAATAGTTTCTTTATATAATTTATCATTGAAAAACATTTCAAAAGTCTCCATGATGATTATATTTCGCAGGTACGAGCTCAAAAATTAGTTCGACTTCATGCAGACCAAATGGAAGATGTTACAGAGGTTTATGCGGGAGATATTTTTGCTTTATTTGGCATAGACTGTGCGTCCGGTGATACTTTTGTCAAAGAATCCAAACTGGATTTGTCGATGGAATCAATTTACATTCCCGATCCCGTGGTGTCTATGTCTGTACAACCGAAGCTTTCAAAAGATCGAGATAATTTCGCTAAAGGTATTAACCGATTCACTAAGGAAGACCCGACTTTGCGTTTCCACTACGATACAGATAATAAGGTAACGGTTTTTTATATTCGTTTTTAGCAGATATCTTTGGATCTATTATTGGAATTTTTTTTAACTTGCATCCTTTTTCAGGAGAGCATAGTTTCTGGTATGGGCGAATTGCACTTGGAAATTTACGCGCAAAGATTAGAACGCGAATATAATTGCCCGGTCATTCTTGGAAAGCCAAAAGTTTCTTTCCGCGAGACCTTATGCGAACCTTGCGAGTTTGACTATCTTCATAAAAAGCAGTCTGGTGGTGCTGGCCAGTATGGTCGCGTGATTGGAATTATAGAGGTACGATATGAATGATTTTAATGGATTTCATCATTAATATTTATCGACACGTTACATATCGCATTCAGATACTTTTATTTCTCTTGTGTTTAATTTACCAAGAAAAACTTGTATTTTTAGCCTTTGCCGCCTCACAAAAATACAAACATCGAATTTTCGGATGAAACTGTCGGAACCAACGTCCCGAAACAATACATCCCGGGTGTAGAGAGAGGCTTCAGGTCGATGTGTGAAAAAGGTCTGCTCAGTGGTCACAAAATCGCTGGGATTAAGTTTAGAATACTCGATGGTATGCACCATTGCGTCGACTCCTCGGAATTTGCCTTCTTCCAAGCCGCGCAAGGTGCTGTTAGGGATGTTTTCGAAGCCGGTAGCTGGCGAATTTTGGAGCCGGTTATGTTGGTCGAAATAGTGGGCCCGCAGGAATTTCAGGTAAAGTAACGTCGCCTACGTAGCTCGTTTTGCATTCATCTAATTTGCCCCTTTCCATTAGACAGTTTTTCACGCTTTTATGTTTATAGGGTACAGTATTGGGACAAGTCAACAGGAGGAAAGGACTTATAAGCTTGACGGAGGTGATAGACGAATGGTTCACAATCGTTGCAGAGGTGCCGCTTAACGAGATGTTCGGTTACTCTAGTGAATTGAGATCAACCACGCAAGGCAAAGGAGAGTTTACCATGGAATACGCAAGGTACAGCCCTTGCCTACCGGACGTGCAGGACCAATTAATTAGACAGTATCAAGAATCGCAGGGAATAGTGACTGAAAAATCTCAGAAATCGAAGAATTAACTGTAGAACGGGAAAGTAAACATTTCTTGTTTTCTTAGTGAAATTGCGCAATATTATCATGAATGCTGTAAGTGCATTATGACAATATGTGCCCCGTTTATATTATATTTAATACACCTGACGTAAACTGATAATGAGTAATTACTAGTAATAGTAATTAATGATTAACAGTAAGCGGACGAACACACAAAATTCGTATACTTGACAAACGTATACGAATGTATCGAATGAGATGTAAATATTAGTCCACGTCCGAAAATGTGTGATACGAAGTATAAAATAAATATATAGAAAGTAATTTCTATCCGCGCGCGCGTGTATAGTGAAAAATATAATAGTTTTATTTCCTATCTACCTTCCGGCAACATCTATCTTTAACATACGTCACGGATACACTTCTACTTTTATACTCTTAAAACTAGAAATGCCAAAGCAGATTGCGTGTGTCTTTTTAGATCGCTCAAATGTACAACGGTGTATTTTCTAAGATTCCCCACGACTTTTGCTGCAATATGCAAATGATCAAGTTCTTTCATCGTCTCTTTTTTTTCAACAATATACATTTAAATCGAATTTAATCGTTGATAGTTTTAGTTAATGCTATAGTAAAGGAAAACGTAGATATATTTTTCATTTCTTCCGCATGCTTTTCCCAATTGTCATCTCGTCGACGCGAGAGATCGGTCCGCGGTATTTCGCGGTTCTTTTTGAACAGACCACGAGACATCCGGCGTTACTCCGCGTAATACCATATTACTTGAATATCACTTTTAGCGAATTCGGGCAGCTTGCACAAGTGCGCACTGAGTGCACACCAAGGCTTGTTCCGAGTCTACTCTTATATTTATGGCCATCTCTCGTATCTCCAAGTGCACGCTTCGAGAAACGAAGACGAATGTTAGTAATAGCGTTTTCGATTTGCTGAGTCGACCCGACTCCGAGTCAGAAAATCGAAAACGCTATAACACGATCGCGCGCATCGTTCCGTGCCATTCCTACGGCAGTTTGAATCGTTTGAATGATAACGCGGCACAACACGTCATTTGACTTCGGAGGCGGACCGTCGAGTCGTATAGCGTTTTCGATTTTCTGACTCGACCCGACCCCGAGTCAGAAAAGTTTGATCAAAAGTCAGATTTGAACCACAATTTCTGCAAAAATC